TGATATGTTAGCATCTGTATTTGCCATTATGTTTGTCTTTCCTTTGATTTTATTTATTCTTTTAATAACTTTTTTTTTTTTTGGTCTTCTTTCGTTGTTATTCGTCCCTCTGAGGTTCTGGCTTTAGGATTCCTTGTAGTATTTTTTGGAGTGGGGGTTTATTCGTAATGAAATTCCGGAGTTTCTCTTTGTCTGGGAAGGTCCATATTCTTTCTTCATGGAGGAAAGAGAGCTTTGCGGGATAGAGTATTCTTGGTTGGCATCTGTGTTCTTGGAGTCTGTTGACTATGTCCCTCCACTCTCTCCTTGCCCGTAGTGTTTCTTCAGAGAAGTCTGATGTCAGCCTGATTGGTTTTCCTTTGAATGTTATCTGTTTCTTCCCTCTTGTCAGCTTCATTATTTTTTCCTTGTCCTGGATTCTTGGTAGCTTTACTATTATGTGTCTTGCTGTGCTTTTCCTTTCGTCGTGGAAGTTTGGTGTTCTTCTTGCTTCTTGTATATCAATTTTCAGCTCCTTCTTCGCATTTGGGAAGTTCTCTTCAATTATCTCCTGGAATATTTTCTCTGTTCCTACATCTCTCTCCTCTCCTTCTGGGATTCCTATAACTCTTATATTTCCTTTCCTCATGGAGTCAGATAGTTCCCGAAGTCTTTCTTCATTCTTTTTCCTTCGTACTTCTCTTTCCTTTTCTGTTTTGGTTCTTTTTATTTCTGTGTCTTCAAGAGAACTTATTCGTTCTTCCATTTCATCTATTCTGCTTTCCTTGCTTTTCCCGGAGTTCTTTAGTTCCTCCATTAATTCTTTGATCTCCTGCATTTCTTTTACTTCCCTCTTTAGTGACTCAATTTCCTTCTTCTGATCTATCACTTTTTTAATCATGGCAATTTTAAATTCTCTTTCTGGAAGGCTCAGAAGTTCTTCCAAGTTGCTGTCGTTGCAATCTGGGGAGTGGTTTTCTTTTTGTGGTGTGCTTCTTTCCTGAGGAGTTGTTAGGTTGCGTGTGGTTCTTCTACTCCCTACTGTCTGTTTTCTAATTTGTCGTATGCGTTGGGACACTGTGTTGCTCGGACTGACTGACATCTTGGGTGAACTTCTCCGCTCCCCTCTGGCTCTTCCAGGAGCCATCTCTGTCTTCTGGGGGAGCTTTCTGCTGGTTTTAGGCAGTTTTTACTGAAGAAATGTCCCTGTTCTCAAATGGCGAAGCGGGATGCAGTCCCTGTGCCTCCGGTTTCAGGCACACTCTTCTGCGCACCCGGTCTGCCCCGGACGTGGGTGCCTGCTCCCTCTGTGGGCTCAGACTGCTGGTCGGAAGGGGCCTGGCGTGGAATAACTTCCTGGCTGGCCACTGGGTCCTCCAGAAGCCTTCTGCCCTTTTCAAGCAGTCTTAAGAAATTTCCTGTTCTATGGGGTGTTAGTGACTTTTTTTTTCCTGGTCGCTAGGTGGCGCCAGAGATCTCTCCTATTGTCCTTGGGGGGCTGTTTTTCGCCTCCCCCCACCCCGTGGGACAGGGAACAGAGCGGGAATGGTAGGGTACACCTCAACAGCTTTGGGGTGCTGTGTCTGCCTTGTGCCCCACCGTCGTGGAGAACCCACGCCCCGAATTTTCGTGCCCTGGGTCTCAGTTCAAAGCCCTCAGTTCCAGGACGTGGGCTGTAGCCCAGTTCAGTGGCGCGGGAATGGCGCCTTTTGCACCCGGCTCCCGTGCCTGGGCGCCTGGTTCTTGCTCACTCAGGGAGGGACCTTCACGTCAGTGAGGACCTCCGCGCGTCTCCCCGCAAGCCTAGGTCGTCTCCCCGCAAGCCTAGGTCGCAGGCGCGGGGACCTGGGCAGCCGGGATCCCGGTCCGCGTTTTTTTTTCAAGCGCGCTGAGTGCGCCACTTTTCCGCGCCAGCTTACCGGCAGCCCGGGCTGTGTGCGCGTCTCCCGGGGTCTTTGTTCTTCTCTAATGGCGCCCGGAGCCGTTCCCTCACCGCCGCGGCGGATCCTGCAGGGTTCGCCTCAGCTCCTGTTCACGGGGTGTGGTGGCTGCAATAGTTCCTTTCCACGCACAGTCCCGCTTGCTGCGTCGTTTGTTCTTGTTGGTCGTTTTGGTTTGTTGTTTCCTCCTCTCTGCTGGTCGGAGAGTGCCGCCTCTGTGGGCGGGGGAGGGGAGCAGGGTTCTGCGCTTCCCTCCCTTCTAGTCCTCTTTTATGGCCACTTTCTTCTTCGGGTAGTTTGCTGGCGTCACCCGTTTATCTTCCGTGTCCCAGTTCTCACTGGGACCTGCCGCTTTTCCTCCCTATTAACTTTTTTTAATGGGAGATCTTACTCGCAGCGTCTCCTCGCCGCCATGTTGCTCCGCCCCCTTGATGTGTTTCTTAAAACTAGAGATCTGCCTGCCTGCTTGTCTGTCTGTCTGTCTGTCTGTCTGTCCATCTATCTGTCTACTTGAGCCAGCCACCTGGGTAGTATTAACTTTGATCTCAGTTGTATTTGGTGGCCCTATCCCTTCCTCAGGGCCCTCCAAGAATCTGAAAACCCTGGTGGTACCTGGTAAATAGAAAGAGGACCTCTAATCCTCAGTTTATAGGCGGCATTGCATGATTGCTGGTGGATAGCTCCATCCTTTCCATGGCAAAGCATGGACATGGGAGTGTTTCTGTGAGTCTTAATTGTTATTTCCATTAGAATCCAGTTACCACTTGGGACTGCTGCAAGGGCTCACATGCAGGTCTCTAGCACCTGAAGATAAGGGAGCATCACTGGTTCACTGCCATTATACCTGAGACACACGTCTTCCCTACTGACTACAGCCCACAGATGGGACTGAACTTGATGCCTGAAGGTGATGGATGTTGGTGGCTCCCAGACCATTTGTAAAATGGGTGAAATCCACAGGATTTACTGAGAGAGAAGTCTGTGTGTGGTTATGCTGTCTGATGAGAGGTGTCCTCATCTGTAAAACTGAACCATGTCTGAGTGCAGAAGACCATGAACCTCAGCAGGACAAGCTGGCAAAACAAATAGACAGAGTCAAGCCAGCTCAAGGTCATTGCACAGTCCCTTCTTAGACTCTCAGCCTTGGCACCAATTCTCCTTTTGTGGGTAAAAGAGGGTGACACCTGGTGCCCTCCCTTTGCATAACATGCCTGTTAACGATTCAAGAGTCCCAGCAGCATGGGAGAAGAGTGGCATTTGGGAATTTCGCTTTGTTCTCTTGTTTTCTGGTGTGAAGGCAGTCCTTCACGCAAGCATGAGCATCCTCCGTCCACGTAAGGCATTTTATCCCCACATCTCACTGCCATTCATTCCCCCTAAGTAGATGTAATGTCTGTGATTCCCTTTATCTGTTTAACCAATTCTTCAATCTCATATCACATTTCTCCACAGTCTTTTATATGATTGCAAGCATTTTGATGAACATTTTGCAGCTGTGTCTTTGTTTACATCCTCGATGGTTTCTTTAGGATTTATTTCCAAAGATAGGTATGAATAAATCCCACTCACAGAAATCCTTTCTTTCTGTAGACTGAGCTGCCTTTAATTGGCACCTCTCTGCCCAGCAGCAGAGAGGGACTGATGCTCTGGTTACCTTGGACACTGCTTCCCATCTGGCAATAAAAAGGAAGCACAAAATGCTTTATTCCTTAAGACCAGAACACATGGAACCCATTTATTCAATTTCTTTATGCTGTGTGACTAAAAGATCCCAAACGCTAAAGTTATAACCAAATAAAGGATCAGGGAAAAAATAATAACAATAAAAAAACACAACACAGCAAAACAAAAATAAACAGACAAGTATAAATCAGAGACATTCTGCAGGGGTGGGGGAGGGAGAGGGATCAAAACGGGGAGGGAAGAGCACAAGGGACTATGGTGATGGTGCATGGGTGAACTGGTGGTGGGAATTTTATGGGGACCACACCTGAGAGGAGAAAGCAAACATTGTACAAAAATGAACAATGCTGTAAAATATAAATATATAAATTATTAAAAAAAGAAAAAGTCATTTGACCTCCTGAGCCCGTGGTTCACAGTTAGTCATTTAGAAGCTAGTTGGGGCTGGGGCAGGAATTCAGTGATGCTGGGCTCTCCTGTTGCTCCATAAGTTGTCTCTTACCACTGGTAATACCAGTAAAATGCTGGGGAAATGGTCACATGTCCTGGAGGAGATAAATTGCAACCTTCCAAGTTCTGGTGAAGTAACCGATACCGGGAGTAATGTGGAAACAGCTCCAGTGAGGGCTGTGAAAAGAGACTGGGGAAGACTGCTTTTCTAATTTATCATGGGAGATGTTAAGCGCTAGAAAGAGAGAGAAAAGCAGTGGCCTTTAGCTGTAGCCCAAACATTTTATAAGCTTAGCGGCTTGATAATTGACTATGCTGGAGACAGGGAGAAAATGAGTCTTGATTGAGCACCTGCTTTGTTCTACTAACTGCATCCATTCCTTGATCACATTTAATTCTCAACATACCTTTATGCTGGAGGCGCTCTTGTTGAGTACTGAGATTTGTAGGAATTAGGTGACCCCAATGTCACAGATCTGGTTAATGGGCAGCAGCGTCTGTGTCCACACCCTGTCTTTGCTGGTCTCAAGGTAACAGCTGAGAAGGAACTAAAACTAAGGACGTTTAAAAGAAACAAAGTTTGAAATGTGAGAGGCAGGGTAGATGTTAAATATTTACAAAGCAGCCTGGAAGACACAATTACCAAAAAGAAAATATTTGTCTAAATACACAGAAGGGCTCAGGAACAAACAGGCATTTAGTTGGGCAGAAGGCCCTGGGGGATGGACTTCTTGAAGGAAGTGACTAAAGATGAGCAAACAGAGGCTCTTGAGAGGTTAAAGTCCAGGTCACTCAGCTAGTATTTCTCTATTACAGACTCAGGGCAAGGAGGGACCACCACAGGGTGAGTGGTGAGAGCGGGAAGGAAGATGGCCTGGAGGGACCCCGTTTATGAAGGTCCTCATGGGAGTACCAGAATGAATGTCACATGTCCTGTTTTTTCTCTAGGGTCTGTGATGATCTGACCAAAGAAGAAAAAAATGAGACAGATGAGTTTCTTGAAGAGTGCATTGCTGATCCTTTACTCCGAGAACGTCTTACCATTCTCTCCCGTACCTTCGAGAACCAGAGAAGGCTGGTTCAGGCAGACAGCATGCTCTTCTTGAATAAAACTTTCACTATTGAGCCCCTGGTGAGCACATAAAAAATTATGATCACACAGTAAACACAAGTGGAAGGCCAGGGCTTATCTTGATGTGAATGCTCTGGGATTGATTTAGTGAGTCCCGGGAGCATAAGGATTCCATCTGAAGAGCCGCATCGTTGTTATGAGACATGAGTGAAGGTTAATGGTGTTAATGCTCAAGGTCACATTTATAGGACACGCTTCCTTTGTCTCAGTCAATGTGTTAGATATTTCATATGCATCAACCAGGTTATCTCATTTGTTATGTTTTGTCTTACTATAACCTTAGAGAAATTCAATAACTTACTAGGCAGTGTCAGCAGTTAAAAATTTATCCCTGAATAGTCTCACTTTAGAGAAGCGCTGTTGACATTTGGGGCTGAGTTGCTCTTTGTCCTGGAGATTGTTTGGTGTTTAATAGCATCCCTGACCTTCACCCACTAGATGCTGGCTTTTTCAGCCCACACTGTCTCTGGGCACTGCCAAATATCCCCTGGTGGGCAAAATCACTCTGCTTGAGAACTGCTTTGCCCTTAACGCACTCAATAAATACTGACTGACTGTACATTCTGTACCAGGTCTTGTGTGTGTCCCAGGCATTGACAAAACAGACACTCCTGGACCTCACTGTCCTGGTGAGAACTGAGTCAGTGGGTGTCTTATTCCATAGGTGAAACTCTTGACCAAAATGAAAATAGCCAGTGCCTTCTCAACTTACTATTTGCTAGGTATTGTGCATTATCTCACACTTGGCAAGCACGCTTGCTAGAGACAACAGGAGGGGTGAGAGAGCCCATGATTAGTTAGCGCCGCTGGTTGCGACCACTCAAATCAGTGGGAGACGTGGGCACAGTGACACTAAGTACAAGATCACTTGTGGAAAATCCCGCTGACTCTTGGAGACCTGTTTTTCAGTTCTTCCAAATTGTTATTAAAGGATATAACATAGAAAAGAGATTCTATGAAATAATGCATTTGGGAAATGGTTCAAGTATTGTTTGAAAGATTTCTTTGCTGTAAGGCTCTAGATGTCTTTGATGAGCTAATGTGAATTGCAAATCTCCAAGACAGAGCACTCCTCCTGGAGACATGCTTTGGAACTAATGTTTTGTAGGACCTGCCATGTGAATAACTTGAAGAGAGTTAGTGCTCTGTTTCAGAGGGGAGGTGTTTTTCACAGGCTAAGAAGCTGGAGAAAGCTTCTTGGGAGCAGAGCCTTGAACTGGGTCTTGTAGGATGGGACTTTTGAAGAATAAAACTGTGGATGTGTATTCAAGGCTCAGTCAAGTCTCCATTTGCTAGGAGTAAAGGGCTCAGGTAGGAAAATAAGATTGGAGATATAGGTTGAGGCTGAATTTCCTGTCATGTCAGAAGACTGCTATGGGCTCAATAGAGCAAAGGGATCTTCAGTTATGGGTTACACTAGCAAGAAATTAAATCAAGATGAACAAACAGTGTTGGAAGGATAGGACAGGCACTTGGAGTAAAATAGGTCAGGTGCAAAGATACTGAAAAAGTCGAGAAGGCGTCACTAGTCCAAGTAAGAAGTGGTTGACTTGGGTAAAGACAGAGAGGAGCAACTAACCATGTGATCTTAGACATTTAGCCAGGACAGTTCCAGAAAGGAGCAGCCCAAGAGTCTCCCAGCTGCTCCTGGAGATCCAAGCTAATACCTACAGTACTGTTTCTTATCCCCTTCTGGGAGTGGGTGAGATCTGCACGCTGAAATTGCAAGCATTGGTGGGCAGGATGAGGTGGAAGGCCCACACAGGACTCCTGTCCATTCTTGCTACAGAGGTAGAAAGTCTAAAGTTGCTTCAGATTTTCTTTGCCTCATGTTATGTCCCGAAGCTTCGGATGGACATGTGTATGTTGAAATATGGGGTGTAATGTGATTGCTTTTGAATTCCAAAAATTATCCTTTGGATATGGTATCCTTTCACCAACAGGGAGAATAGCATTATCTTTAAATAGTGATACACAGAAATAGTACCGCTTAAATAAATAAACTAATTTTATTTCTATGGGATGGCAAAAATTCTAGAAACAGGAAGGGGTAATATTCACTTAGAGTACAAGTTGCCTTTATGGCATCTGAAAATGACTGTGTCATTTCTGTACACTGTCCAGGCTTTCTTCTCATGATAGTATTCATTAGCTGGTTGTTGACAATTTTTGCAAAATGAAAATGAAGGCATGAAACTTTCCTAGTGTCTTCCTAAAATTATTCTAGTCAGAACGAGAGAACTCAGTGTAGGATGTAGTGAATTATTTAATGACATTAAATCTCCTTTCCCCTCTCACTTAAAGATCCTGTTTGTGAGTATAATATAGTAACACTTTGAAATTAGTTTGGAAGGTATGAGATGGGGGAAATACTGCCATTTCATTAGCAACTTGACCCAAATGTGAACTATGGGGTTTTTCACTGTTGAAATCTTGGTTTTCCATTACAAATAAATAAATGTTACATGAGTTTTGGAGTAGAGTTGGGGAAAGATTTATAGATGAGATGAGAACTGAGCTGAATATTAAAGAAAGGGTGACATTTAACTAAGTGGAAAGGAAGGAGGAGAAAATTTCCAGTTGCAGAAATTATGAAAACAAAGAAAAGGGAAATTACTATGTTTGTGACTTATCAAATAGCAATGAAATGACCAGTTATTCTGGAGCAGTAAAGTCATGGACAATGTAATAAATAAGACAGGGAAAGAGCATGGAAGAAATCTGGGTGGTCTGGTCAACCATTCCGCCATAGCTTACAGGGTACCATCTCTCCCAGGCTGAAAACCCTCATCTGAGGGGTGGTAATGTGAGGCCCTGGCATAAAGGAATTTCTGTAATCACATAAATTTGGGAAACACTGGTCTAACAGAAGGTGATTCTCCAGATGATAGAGTCGAAGCACTATGTTCCCATGACCACAGCCCCCTTCCCCCACACAGCATGCTGAGGGTGTCTGAGGGTATCAGAGCAGAAGTATGACATGTTTGAGGCTTTGAGAAAGATTATCCTAGTAGTCACATGCAGGTCACATGGACAGAAGGTAGGATGGTTGGTGCGTGCAGGTCAGGTAAGGGAAATGTACCAGTGCAGGAAGGGCCAAGGAGACTGAACATCTCTGCAGCCAAGTTCAGAGTGGTGTGTGAGGATGATGCTGGAACTGGAGCCCAGTGATAGAAAGCAGTGGAAATGGCAGATGTGAGAGATACTCAAAAGAAATACACTAAAAAATGTTTTGATTGATTGGTGGTTGAGGTTGAGATGTGGGGAGATATCATGTGTCTTCTCCGATTGAACTAGAGTGACTGGGAGAATGATGATGTCTTTGATAGAAATTAACAAGTCAGGAGTGATGGGTTTAGTCTCCTAGCTTTGCCAGTAGCACATGTGACCTTAAACAAGTCATTCCCTCTCCCTTGGCTTCAGCTGCCTTGTGTCCAAAGTAAGGTTATTGGGGTAGGGCATGTTAATCCTTTTTGAGTCATAGGTTGTGATCTTCAATTTGGGAACAGACTCTGAGCTCCTTAAGGTCAAGGAGTGCCTTCCCCTCATCTGTGCACAAGATCTAGCACAGAGCCTACAAATGGATAAATGGGGGAGGGAAGGAGGAAGGAAGGGGAATCAATGAGTAATGCTAAGTTTGGTTCTGAACATGTTGAATTTAAGACAATAGATGTGTACACGTTTGAGAAACGCAGTACTAAATGGGAGGGACATCGGAAACAGTCAAGGTTGGTGAGTATCTTAGAGTTGAGGGCATAAAAAGCAGATGGAATTCTAAGCAGAGCAAAGAAGAAAACATGCAGAGACAGCACCCGGGTGCTCACCTTTGGAGACCCCCAGAGGGAGGAGAGGCTGTGAGTTCACAGACAAGGATGGCACAGAGCAGAACAAGTCAGCTGAGGGCTCAGTAACCTACCTTCCCTGTCTTTCTACCCCATATGCCTGGTTTGCCGCCAGTTCTACTGAAGGTCTCTTCTGAAGGTCTCTTGCTCATGTATCACATCAGTTATGCCAAATGGTCGTTATTTAATTTCTGACAGTTAAGCCATGCATCAGTGATTAGTTCTTTTTTTCTATGAGGGCGTGATTCTTTTTAATTAGCTTCTTGATATAAGTTGAGTTTATAGTAGAAGCAGAGAAAATTAAAACCAAGCCATGTACCCACTGATTTAACAATCAATCTCTAATCGATACCCTGTTAAAAAAAATCAAAATAAAATAAAATGTTGATAACAGGGATGTAGAGACCATCTTGCTTTTTGATGGTGCCTTCACCCTCTAGATCTACCAAGGAAGGGCACTGTCTTCAACTGAAGTAAACATAAAAAGTAAAACAACAACAATGACTACAAAGAACCTGTTACTTAAGGATCAGAAAAGAAATAAATGACGTGCTTATTGTCTCAGGCCTTTGGTTCTTCAAATGCATCAGCTAAACCCAAGTTAGTTTAGCCCTTTATTGTGTTTTCTGCATAGTGAATGTTTTTTTAATATTTTTTAATGATTTATTTATTTGTGCATACAAGAGCTGGGGTGCAGGGCAGAGGTGCGGGGCAGTGAGAGGATTCACCAGAGACAGAGTGGGGAGCAGAACAGGTGGATCAACTGAGATACACTGCTGAGGGGAGCAGCATGCGAGTCAGGAGAGGTCTGCTGCGCCATGTGGGTCACCTCCCTGGCTGGGGATCAAACTCATGCTGCAGTGACTGCGGACTGCTTCATAGTGCTGCGTCTTAACGCTTTGCGCCACACGGGAGGCTCTGTGTGTTGAATGTTTTATGGAACCATTGTTCCTATGTTAAGAAGTTTTTAGAATCTTGCAGTTTAAAGCTAGTAGATCCAATATCAAGAAATCAGCCACTCTACCTAAATTGCCCAGAGGTGGAGATGGACTTGAACATAAGTCAGGTGTTATTAACATATTCATGAGAGAAGTAGTTTGACTCAGCGCTGTAAGAACCACCCGAAATGCTAGAATAGTAAGTTCTTACTCAGTTCCA